TTTTTTTTTTTTTTTTTTTTTTTTTGGTTTTACACAAAGGTTTTAGAAGATTTGTGTAATTATTTGATCACTTAAGAAATACGTCTTTAAATATATTGTTGGGTAATTCCATTGTCTTCATGTGAAAATCAACTTAAATGTTTGCTTCTTGAGGTTATGAATAAAGTGATTTTTCAGTTGGATTTTGCAACACAAAGTTTTAAATCTTGTTTATTGCGGCAGAAGATGCGGAAACAGGAATTAAGGTATCAATAGTCAGTAAATGAACATTTTTTCATTAAAAACTTGATACATGCGGTACAGGTTTGAGGAAGCATGTTTTATTTAGACTTTGAAATTTTTTTTTTCTGGATGAGAAGAATAAGAGAAGTGTCATATCAAGTAGTTGCATTAGATATTTTCTTTGTGCAGCATTAATTTGCTCTTTGGGAATATTGGATCAGTTGTGATGTTCAGACTCTTTGTATCAACGTGTAAAATTTTTGCAGAGGACAGTTACAATACTGTCGATTTTTGCTCAGTTACATTGAACATAAAAACAGATGTTGAATTTTTAACTGATCAATGAAATTATTTTTTTTGGAAATGATTTGTTGATTTTGTCAAATAAAAGAAAGAAACAAATGAATAGATTTATTGTTAACAATTGTTATGGGGGAGGGGAGGAGGAGGGGAGAGGAAAAAACAAAGAAAGAAAACCTTTATGAGAATACTTGCCAACAAACAACGTTTATAATAAGCATTTAAAAAGACATTACTATCGTTTTTGATAGGGTTTTCATTTGCTGTTTGAAATGTTCAAAGTTCTTAGCAACTGCTAATCGATATCCATTTTTGCAAATTTTGTGAATCATTTGTAACAGAGGAAAGAGTTGCTAAGGTTGGCTATAGAAGAAGCAAAAATACACTGAACAAATGACAAATTGTTTTAGATAAAGGATTTTTTCTTCATGTTTTTAAGATTTATCAGTATTCCTGAACTATTCCTAATTGCAAAAATATTCGTTACAGTACAACTTTATGCAGCAGTCAGTTAATTGCCAGTAATGAATTTTAATTTTTTTTCTTACTAATATCAAGTTTTTTTCAGCTGTTTGTTAACAGGTGCAAATAGGTCGATTGTTAATGTCCACTATTTCAGTGGAACTCTGTTGACAATTAGCTTTACCGTCTTACACATACACGTTTCCGTCTCAATAAAACTGGACAGCATACACTGGACAAGGAATGTTACCCATCCAATTTGGACGACATTGAGGAAACTAAGATGAAGCACTGTTTCCAGTTTTAATAGTAATCTTCAAATTTTCTTCTAGCACCCGTTATATAGTTTTAAAACCATTTTTACAGCGATCATTTCCCACAGTCCTATAGTTCCGGTTCCAACAGTTGTTGTGAGTCCTAAAGAGTCAGAAATTGCTT